GGAAGGAAGGAAGGAAGGAAGGAAGGAAGGAAGGAAGGAAGGAAGGAGAGAGAAAGAGAGAGAAAAAGAAAATGAGAAAGAAAGAGAGAGAGAAAGAGAAAAAAGAAAACGAAGAGAGATCACTGAAATATTCTATGTAAATGACACTATCTCAACAGAAATCCCTCTCCCCATAGTTTTGAGACAGATAAACGGAAACTCAGCCTACTCTGGTAGCTTCCTTCATTCTGTAGACCCCCTCCTAGGGAACCATGCGTGTTGGACCTGCTGTTAAGCTCCAAGTTGCATCACCTGATATCCCCTGAGCTCAGAGCTCAGGGCTAAAATGACAGAGTCCCTTCCTCACCTGGGCTCCCTCCTCTCCACCTGATCTGGGGTTTTCAGACTCTAAGGAGTGTCACTGCCCTCAGGGAGATTACAGGCCCAACCCTTCCCCTTAAGAAGCCCCGCAGTGTGCACCTGGGGATTCCTGGAAACACTCTTCATGCTGATGACCTGTCTAGGTACCTTAGCTTCCAACCAGTGACCTTTTTTCACACCTCTAACAGTACCTGGCGGCACACACCTTAACCCCAGCACTCAGGAGGCAGAGACAAGAGGATCACCAATGATCCTCTTCATAGTGAAACCCAGGATGGAAGAGAGGGAGGGAAAGAAGAAGGAAGGAAAGAAATAAGAAGATGAGGAGGGATGGTGGATACATTTCAAGCACAAGAGAACCGCACCCCTGCCACCCACCCACGGAGGTCAGAAGAGGGCAGTTGGATCTCTGGACCTGGAGTTACAAATGGTTGTGAGCACCATGTGGGGTGCTGGGAACAGAACCTGGGTCCTCTGCAAGAGGAGCCAGTGCTCTCATCTGCTGAGCCAGCTCTTCGGCCCTCTAGCTTGCTTTTAACCACCAGTTCCCTGATACCAAGTGCAATAAGTCAAAGGAAAGCAGACTGGTCCTCACTCTCACAGCAAAAAAAAAAAAATCACTTTTTCTCCAGCAAAACATAAAGCTCCCCAGAAAGCATGGCATGGAGGCACTTGTAATCCCAACATTCAGCATGCTGGGGAAGGGGGGTAGAGAGTTCAGACCAGCCTGGGCTACTGACTGGAGTGAGGCACTGTATCAGAAAAACAAAAGTACGGAGGGGATGTGACTTCCTGTGCTGATGTTGATGCGTAGTGACCAGTGCATTTGCTAACCAGAGTGTCCATTCCAGGAGGATCTGTCTCCCTCTTCTGGTCTCGACAGACTAACACAGATCTATACTGACACAGACATTACATAGACATACATGCAGGCAAAACACCCATACACGTAAAATAAAATGGAAAAAAATTTTTTTGAGACAGAGTTGGCTTGGCTGTCCTGGACTCACTCTATAGACCAGGCTGGCCTTGAACTCACAGAGATCCGACGCCTCTGCCTCGCTGACTGCTGGGATTACAGGCTTTTAAAATCATCATTTGCACAGTCTGCTTTACGGAGCTGAAGCTGAGGGGACTGAGTTCCGGAGGACGGGGCCTGGCGTGCACACATGTATGGAGCACACTCCAGGGCATGAAAGTGTACTGACCTGTTAGGAGTCCGGCCACCATCCCCATCGCCATAGCAAAGCTGAGAGCCCCAATTTCAAGGACCATCCCCGTAGCAAACCTAGAATGGACAAAGCAGAGAGATCACTCAGGTATCGGGCTGCAGGTCCCGTGTTCGAACACATACACAATAAACCCTCATGTATTTACAGTGGAGTCAATTCCTAATAGTCTTTGGTGGTCTCATGAACTGGGAATAACACTAGCACCAGGGAGGCAGGGGCAGGTGGATCTCTGAGCTCAAGGCCAGCCTGGTCTACAGAGAGAGTTCCAGGACAGCCAGGGCTACACAGAGAAACCCTGTCTGGCCTGGGGGCTGGGGTAGACTTTCTGAATAAACTGGCTCTGAGTACATTTCCTCCCAAGCTGGACGAGGTTAAGGGGCTATGCCAAGCAACACAAGCAATGCACACGTACTCAGAGCTTCTGTACGTAGTTTCTCTCAGCAGGAAGTAGGTGACACCTCCGAGCAGACCTGGCAAGCCGAAGGTGTAGTGGACCCCACTGGGGTTAGGGTCCGGCAGCACGTGGCTCAAACACACCTGGGACAGAAACAGCTTTGTAAGTAGACCAACCCTCTTTGACATCAGGCCCAACAGGCAGAGCAGACCTGGAGGCTCACCCAAACATGCCCTGTTGGTATCGAAAGGGTTAGACTAACTTTGCAACCTGTATGTCTTCTAAAGCCTATAGTTTTGAGTTTTAGGTTCAAGTTAAGCTAAAGCCTCTTAGTACCTTTCCAGAGAATGGAGGAATGTGACCCTATCTGTGAGGACAGAAAAAAAAAAAAGGGCAAGCAAGCAATGACCTTCACTCAGCAAAAAGAAGGACCAGACCGTTGTCTTTGAGATAGTGTTTCTTAGCAACGAACCCAGACTTCTTCTGAGTAGCTTTTGACCTCCAGCCAAAAGTCCACAGCCCCTAATCTTCAAGGATGAGCTAACCACCCCCACCTTCAATTGCAGCTGCATCCACACTTGGCAGGACTGGCCAAGCTTGAGCACCTAAGACTAACCAATTATCTTACTTTATAGCTTCCTCATCCAATCCTAAATTGCCAAGACTGCAACTTCAAATCTCCCGCAATTTTTCTTTAAAAAACCTAAAGGCCTTTGTCTCCCGGTGCCACTCTTTGCTGACCGGCAGGGGTGACCCCATTGCGCAATGGTTAATAAACCTCTTGCTTTTGCAACGAGTCTTGGTCTGGGGGAGTTTCTGGGAAGGGTGCAATCTTGAACTCCTGAGCTGTGAGACCCCAGGTCTTACAGGGTCTCATGGATTCCAAGCTCCCAACTTCATGGTCCACTGAAATGTGAGCGGGCAGCTGCTACCCCCTCCTGCTGCCAGAGAGCTGCCCGGTGGCCATGCTTTTGCCACCATGATGGACGGCATCCCTGCAAACCATGATGCCCCGCTTCCCCCATCCTCAAGTAGCTTCTTGGTGGCATTTGGTCATGACAGCATCCAGCTGTTTCCACTCTGTCCTCACACTCCCTCCACTTCTGCCCTCAGCAGGCCTGAGGAGACAGGACATTGCCTTAGGTTCCTTCTGTCCTTGCGGCCTCCACTGTCTCCAGAGCGAACATCCAGAGCCCTGGTTATTCCAGGAGATATGGCCCGCACTTCTCACCTCTTGAGGTGCTGGTCTCACCAAGGTCCTGGCTAACCCAAACGTTCTGCCATGGTCGTACCTTTCTGTACCTCGGAGGGGCCACACTTCTCACGGAGCATTTGAAGGCCCTGTCCCTGCCTGGAGCCCGTTTCCCTCTTTGCCTGGCTAATCCTCCTGACTGTCTACTGCTCACCTAGGACGAGCTCCCGTCTGGAAGTATTGGCTTTTCCACTCTGACCTGACCTCGGCTAGCTTAGGTGCTCTTCTGGTGTTTGTCGGTGTGTTGTGTTTATAGGAAGCAGAACGAGGACTGGAGGATGTGTGGTGAATGACTGAATGGATGAACTAATAAACAAATGAGTCATCTTCAAAGTGACAGGGCCACCCTGCTGTGGTGAAAGAGTCAAGGGGACTGAGGCACCGAGACATCAAGGGGCTTGTGCTGACTAGTTTTATGTCAAGTTGACACAAGCTAGAGTCCTTTAGGAAGAGGGAACCTCAGTTAAGAAAATGCCTCTGAGGGCTGGAGAGATAGCTCAGAGGTTAGGAGCACAGGTTTGCCCTTCCAGAGGTCCTGAGTTCAATTCCCAGCCACCACATGGAGAACATTATATATTTAATAAATAAATAAAACTTAAAAAAAAGAAAAAGGAAAAAGAAAATGCCTCTGGGGTCATTTTCTTGATTGATGACTTTTTAAATCTATTTATTTATTTATCTATCTATCTATCTATCTATCTATTTATTTATTTGATGGGTTTTTTAAAAGAATTATTTATTTACTTTATGTATGTATTTCATTTATTTTATGTATGAGTGTTCTATCTGTAGGTCACTTGCATGCCAGAAGACAGCATTACATTATAGATGGTTGGGAGCCACCATGTGGTTGCTGGGAATTGAACTCAGCACCTCTGGAAGAGCAGACAGTGCTCTTAATCACTGAGCCATCTCTCCAACCCCTTGACTGATGATTAAAGTGAGAGGGCCCAGCTCCCTGTGGGACCTCTCAAATAGGGCACCACCTCTCTTGGTTCTGGGTTCTATAAGAAAGCAGGTTGAGTAAGCCATGGGAGCAAGCCAGCAAGCTTCACTACGTCTCCACATCATTTCTTGCCTCCATGTCCCTGCCCTAACTTGTCTAAATGACTGACAGACTACCAACTGTAAGAGGAAATGAACCCTTTTCCCCTCAAGTTGCTTTTGGTCTTTATCACTGAGATTAAAAAAAAAAACAAAAACAAAAAAACAAAAAACAAAACGAAGACAGGACTTGAGCCCAATGGGAATGTGTCACCCGAGGAACCATTCTCTGCTGGTGTAACAGCTGCTTGCAACTCAGGGTTTCAAAGTCGAAAGAGAGAAGAGGATTTGTTCCCACTGCAGATGAAAAGCAGTCAGGCCTAGCTTTGATCAAATCGAACACCTGATAAATTCTTCTTTGAGTTGAAATCCCTCATCCGAAGTCAGACTTCAAAAACCTGTGGGAGATGGCACAGTGGGAAAGACGCTTGCTGCCAAACTGGATGACCTGAGTTCAATTCCCGGGACCCATCTGGTGGAAGGTGAGAACAGACTTATGCAAGCTGTCCTCTGACTTCTACTGGTGCTGAAGAGTTTAAGTGAGCCTGGGTATAACTCCATTTTGAAATAAAGATCTTGACTGGGAGCTGAATTCAGGCACCAGGAAATATCACAGAATGTACGCCCGGCAGAGAACAAAGTTAACTCTCCTAGCAACACCCCCTAGGAAATATAACAGAATAAATGCTTCATAGAAAACAGAGACAAACTCCCTGGCAATAATCAGGTGGGAAAATTCTCCCCAATATTTCAGATATGTTTTAGAAGAATAGCCATTGTGATTATATGCTTTACCCATTGTGATTACATGCCTTAGCCATTGTGATTGTGTGCCTCAGAGAAGGTCACCCTGCCCTGCTAAACTTCACCCAATTCTGTAACGCCAAGGCTTGTGCCCCCTTGCTTGCTGCCATGGAGACCCCCTGATCACAGACTTTCCCTTTAAAAATCCTGTTCACTCAGGGCTCAGGGTCCCACTTCTCTACTGCTGCATCAGTGAGAGTTGGGTCCTGAGTTCGATCACTCTCGTAATAAAGCTCTCTTGCTATTGCATGGAGTCGTCTCCTGGTGGTCTCTGATGGTCTCAGATCTCTGAACCTGGCATGACAGTACTTACAACAAACAAACAAGCAAATAACTGAACAAACAAACAAATAAATAAATGCAATTTAATTTTGTTTATTTGAGACAGGGTTTTTCAAATAAACAGAGTACCGCTCGCTGTCCTGGAACTCACTGTGTAGACCAGGCTAGCCTGGGATTCAGAGATCCACCTGCCTCTGCCTCCCAAGTTCTAAGATTAAAAGTATTTGACACCACCAGCTGGCTGCAATTTAATTTTTTTTTTAAGGATTAAAATGATGGACAGAAATGCCTCTGGGTGGGCTGGAGAAATGGCTCAGAAGATAAGAGCACTGGCTGCTCTTCCAGAGGTCCTGAGTTCAACTCCCAGCAACCACATGGTGGCTCACAACCATCTATAATGAGATCTGGTGCCCTTTTCTGACCAGCAGACACACATAAAGGTAGAACAATGGATGGATGGATAGATAGATAGATAGATAGATAGATAGATAGATACTTTATTTTAAAAAATGCCTCTGGGCATGCTCAGCTTGTACCATAAAGCTTTACCTGATACAAAGGCTTCTTGGAAGCCACACCGACACAGGTGTCTTCCCCTGACTGTCCCCACCTGCTTACTCACTCACACATCCCGGCTTTGTATCTGCCCTAAGAAAGTGTCAATACCTGCTTCATGAACCCATGACCCATCCAGGTACCCAGATCCCACGAGACTGAAGCAAAGCAGAGGGCGGTAGCTTTCCAGTTCATTACCGGCTGGCACTTGGCTCCCGCGGCGGAGATCAACCCAGCTGTGAGGCCCAGCACCATGGCAATCCACGGATGAGTAATCAGGGGGCATGGGGTGCCCACAGCCACACCGCCTGCCAGCACTGCATTGTGGATGTGAATCTGCAAAGAGACAGTTTGTGGGTGGGTGGGTAAGTCAGAGAGGCCATTCTCTTGCCCACAGCCTGATGAAGCACCAGGTGACCTTCATCCACAGGCTCCCTCAGGCTCAAGAAGTAGCCCTTCTGACTGGGCCTCCTGGCGACCCCTTAGTAACACACCCTTGAGCTCTTAAAAGAATAGGGTTTGAGCTGTGCTGCAAGCCTGTAATCTCAACTCCCAAGATGCTAGGACAGGACTATCTTGAGTTCAAGGCCAGCCTAGGCTATATGGTAAAATCTTGTCTTCCCTCCCCCCCATCCCCCATCCCCCACCCCCGGTTTTTCAAAACATGGTTTTCATTCTCTGTATGGCCCTGGCTGACCTGGAACTAGCTGTGTAGACCAGGCTAGCCTTGAACTCAGAGATCTGCCTACCTCTGCCTCCCTGATGCTGGGATTAAAGCCATTCACCACCACCATCCAGCTATGTCTTTTCTTTCTTTCATTTTTTTTTTTTTAACTTTAAAAAGATTTATTTTTTTTTCTTTTTCTTTATGGGTGTTTTACTGTCTATATGTCTGTGCACTATCTACATGTCTGCTGCCTGTGGAGGCCGGAAGAGGGCATCAGATCTCTGGTAAAGGAGTGTGCCACCACCGCCTGGCACTTTTAGAGTTCTGGTAAGCCCTGAGTCAGACCTTAGCCCAGGGTCTGGCACAGAGCCCAGAAGCCGCTGTTACATTGTTCATGAGTACTAGCTACTTGCTGCTTAGGATAGCTATGACCACACTGGGCTCCAGTATGCTGTCCCTGGCTCCTGGGTCACACCTCCACTGTTGTCCCTCCATCCCCCTTGCCTCCTCTGACCCCTCAGTTCTAAGCCTTAGAATGGTGACACCTACTCCTTAGCCTCCCTAAGCCACCCTGCCTTTGTCTGCTCTTAGAATTCCTGTCACCAAGCTGGAGAGATGTCTCAGAAGTTAAGAGCACTGGCTGGCTCTTCCAAAGGTCCTGAGTTCAATTCCTGAGTTCAGCAACCACTTGGTGGCTCAAAACCATCTATAATGGAGATCTGCTGCCCCCTTCTGGCCTGCAGGTGTACGTGCAGTACAGACTACTGTACACAGAATAAGTAAGTAAATAAATAAATCTTGAAAAAAAAAAAGAATTCCTGTCACCACCATGTTCACCTTTGGGCATACCCACCTCCCCCCAGTGACTGCACTGTGTTGGGAGCCTGTCATCTGTGGCCTGGTTCCTCTCAGGTCCCCCTCTCTTCCCTCCCCCCCCACCTACCCCATCTGGCAGCTCTTCCCAGTGCTGCTGACTGCTGAGCCTGGCTTTTCTCTTTCTCCTTTCACCCATCCCTTTCCACAGAGTGTCCTCCAGTGAATTGGTACCAGCTCCACTCCACATTAAGTACTTTTCGTGTATTACCTATTTTTTCTTCCTTTCTTTTTCTTTTCCTTGAGGCTGGGTTTCTCTTTGTAGCCCTGGCTGTCCTAGAACTCATTCTGTAGACCAGGTTGACCTTAAACTCACAGAGATCCACCGCCTTTGCCTCCCAAGTCCTGGGACCACTGCCCGGCTAAATTTCTTGAGGGAAGAGGAAAGGCTGACTAATTTCATTCCAGTTTGTTCTGCTGACTCTTAATCATGGCGGTTGGCTTCAACCGCTAACAGAAACGAGGTCTACTGTCTGGTCAGTGTGATATTAACATGATTCAAACACCCGCACCAGCCCCAAGACAGCCCGTCCAGCTTCTGGTATTCTCCCTACAGGGCAGACACGGAAGGGCTTATCACAGGCTTTCCTCGTCCATAGCCTGAGCCCCTGGCAGAGCCATGAGCACGTGTGTTAGGCACAGAGACACATGTGCTGCCCACACAGCGGCCTTCTCCTCACCATGTTGATCTTCCCCTTGGGGTGAGTCAGGGCTGACACGGCGGTGGCTGCTACAGTGCTGACTGCCAGGGCGTAGTAGGTGTTGAACACAGCATTCTTCTTGTCGTTTATCGCCTCCAGGAGAGCAGAGTTGAAACTTGGCCAGAATATCCACAAGAAGAGGGTGCCTGGAGGGCAGAGGGCCATCAGCCAGAACCAGGCCCTCGTTCTGACACCAGTCTTCCAGGGTAACAGAGGAATGGCCTGAGGCTTACAAGTGAGGCTGGTCACTTTCCAGTTTGGTGACTAGTCGCCTCTCCCCTCTGAAGTCTCAGGTCGGTGGGAAACAGACAACACGCTCTCCAGACAAGGGATGGAAGGCCCAGAGCACTGAAATCTCCAGACGCCAGGCCTCACTCTAACGCTTCCCTTTAAGATGCAAGGCAGAGGCTGGAGAGCTGGTTCTGTGGCTAAGAGCACTGGCTGCTCTTACAGAACACCTTCATTTTTCTCCCAGCACCCACACGGGAACTCACAACCATCTGTAACTCCAGTTCTAGGAGATCCAAAAGGCACACACACGGTGCACATACATGCATGTAGGCAAAAGAGTCACACACAAATAAATAAATAAATATATATATATATATATATATATACACATATATATATATATAATACATATATATGTATTAATGCAGGGCAGTTGTGTGTGGTGGCTTAAAAGTGTTGTCTCAGTTCTTAGGAGGTGGGAGTCGGAAATTTACAGTGAGCTCACGGCCAGCCCAGGCTACATAGTGAGCTAGGGGCTAGCCTCGGCAACTGTACGAGCTCATCTCAGAACAAAAATCTTCCTCCTGCTGTGTGTCACAAGGATGAACTCAGGTCGTCAATTTTGGTGGCAAGAATCTTTTCCTATCGAGCCATCTTGCTGGTCCATAACTCTCTGTATTTTTTAAAAATATAATCTTTTAAAAATATTTTTGTGCATAATAGGTGTTTTGCCTGCATTTATGTCTATCCACACGTGGGTGCTTGATGCCTGGCAGAGGCCAGCGGAAGGCCTAAGAGCATCTTAGGCCTTCTAGGAGCTGGAGTTATAGGTGGTTGTGAGCCACCATGTAGGTGAAGGGAGTAAATCCAGGTCCCTTGCGAGAGAGCCAGTGCTCTAACCACCGAGCCATCTCTCCAGCGCCTCTCTACATTTTTTTAAAATCTTAATTCTTGCTTTTCCTCATAGTGTTTACTTGCCCACATGCTTCCTTTCTGTTAGACACAAAAATGTCGGATAAACTTAAAAGTCAAGTGTAATGAGACTCTCTGAGTGTTCAATCCTCTTGCCTCCACTTCCCAAGTGCTGAGTGGTCCAGGGTTTCACCACCATCCCCAAGTCTCCACCCAATATTACTGAAGAGAGGTTCCCTAAAATGAGAGGCTTAGTCCGGAGCTATAAAGTAAACAGCGTTTCTAGAAGCAGAAGGCCTTGGTGGAAGGGAGCAGGACGCTGGGGTCAGAGGCCAAGGAACGATTTCGCAAGCAGGGCTCACGTACAGTGTCTCGGCTCCATTTCGGGCTAGAGACTACCCAGCCCGCTTGTCCTTACCCAGCATGGCAAACAGATTGGAGCTTGTGGCCATCTGAACCTTCTCTGTCTGGGCTCTCATATCCGCTTCCTTGGGCAGAGACCTGGAGAGGCACCAGGCCACAAGCAGCCCGAAATAGGCCCCGAACACGTGCCCATGCATCATGGATATGTGCTTTTCTACCTGTAACACAGCAGGACTGTGGTGAGCGTCCTGCCCTAGGCAGAGCGGTCAGCCCTGCCCCCCGCCGCCCCACAGTCCTGAGCTTCCTGTGGGAGGTGAGACTGGAGCTCTTACCTGGTGTTCAGAGCTTATCCAGCCCAGCCAGCCAGCTTCCCCTCAGAAGAGCCCATGGGCAGCTAAGCCTGGGCTGACCAGTGTCACAGCCTGTCCTATGACACCATGACACAGCTGAAGAGATTCTGGGTTCATGCTAATCGTGCCTTGTGGATAGTAATTTTGTTATTGTTATAGTTTTGTTTGTTTGTTTGTTTGTTCATTTGTTTTTGGAGACAGGGTGTCTCTGTGTAGCCCTGGCTGTCCTGGAACTCACTTTGTAGACCAGGCTGGCCTCGAACTCACAGAGATCCACCTGTCTCTGCTTCCTGAGTGCTGGGAATAAAGGTGTGCACCACCATGCCCTGCTTATGCATAGTAAATTTAGTAAGCCTTAGGCCTCATTCTTAGTGGGTTTAGAGTAAAGGCTGCTTTTCAGAGTCTTTCAAAAACACTCAGAATGGATTGGCTCTTCAACCACTTGCCCCTGATGTTGCCTTGGCCAAAGCCACCTTCACAGGCACTCCAGATTTCTGCAATAACCTCCCAGCTGGACTCCCTGTTTCCACCCTTGTCCCTATTGAATATTCTCCAAGCAGCTCTAGACCCTGCCAGTCCTGGCTCAGAATTCTCCAGTGACTTCCGTGTCTCTCAAAGTGACAGTCCTTTCCATGACCTGCAGGGAGACCCCATGAGATCTGCTCTAATCCTACCTCTCTCCCTTCCTCACACCTCCAGTTGTCTCTCAGTTCAGGCAGTTCAGCCTCCAGAAATGCTGGTTCCCTGGGCAGAGGGGGATGGGCAGGGAGGAGGCAACCTCAGACCTGGATGGTGAGCAAACGGGCAGGTGCAGATCTGTCTGCTTTCTATAATCACCAAGGGGCAAGATAAATGGGCAACGTAAGGGGTGTGGGCAAGAGATACAAGGGCCTCTGGACAGATGCAACCTGCCATACACCCCGCCTGGGCTGGCCAGTGTTGCCAGACCCCCTCCAGGGCTGGCCTCAAAAATTCCTTGGTCAAGATGTCCTACTGGGCTGTCCTGGTATCTTACCCCACCCCCTCACATTTCTGCAGCACCCTCCTTTATTTTATTTTTCACCATAGAATTGGTTAATAACATGACACATCTTTTGCCCATTTCATTTTTTCTCTTTTTTTTTTTTTTTTTTTTTTGAGACAAGGTTTCTCTGTGTAACCTTGGCTGTCCTGGACTTGCTTTTGTAGACCAGGCTGGCCTTGAACTCACAGGGATCTGCCTGCCTCTGCCTCCCTGAGCGCTGGCGTTAAAGGCAGGCACCACCACACCTGGCTCTTTTTTATTCGTTCCTTCCAAAGCAGCAGTTTCCCTGAAGTTGCATTTTCCCGTGGTCACAAGAGTGACTGGTATGTGACAGGTACTCAGTAAAGCACTTGGTGGGTGGATGATGCTAAGGAGCCCTCTCTCGTGCATAAAAATGCAAGCTCCCCACTGATGCTGCCTCAGCCAAAGCCACCTTCACGGGCACTCCAGATTTCTGCAGTGACCTCCCAGCTGGACTTCCTGTTTCCACCCTTGTCCCTATTGAATATTCTCCGAGCAGCTTCCTCCTAAGGACCAGAAAGAGGACATGACTGTACTTTCTGTTCATAGAAGGTTGACGCAAGAGAACTCTGTGAGTTCAGGGCCAGCCTGGACTACAGAACTGAGACCCTGTCTTAGATCCACCTAAAATTGGAACTTGTATATAGTTCATTCTGTTGAACAGTTGCCTAGTATGGAAGGCAGGAAGGCAGGAAGGCAGGAAGGCAGGAAGGAAGGAAGGAAGGAAGGAAGGAAGGAAGGAAGGAAGGAAGGAAGGAGGGAGGGAAGGAAGGAGGAAAGAAAGAAAAGGAAGGAAGGAAGGAAGAAAGAAGGAAAGAAAGAGCATAAATATTTTGTGGGGGTGTAAAATGTACATTTCCAATGTCATTCAATATTAATTTTTTATTTCGAAATATAATTTTTATGTTACTGTATCTTTTAATAACATGCAACTACCTAGACAAAACTACCTATAACCTGGCATGTTATATAATGGATATAGAATTGTGAATTTGTTCTCAATTCTCTAGGTAGTCAACAAAACTTTAAAGGCAGTCAGTAGAATTCCACAGCCTTCCTTACTCTCCTTGGCCATATTTTATGTCTTTGAATTATTGGCAAGGACCACAGTATACCTCTTTGGGTTCCTAGATTCAGAACTTCAGCTCTGAGTGTACAGCGTGGAGTAACTGTAGAAAATACGAAAGGGCAGTGTAGGAGGCTTGAGTCGCGGCTAGAAGGGCACAGGGGATAGGGATTGATATGGGAGGGCCCAGACCCCTGTGGGCGGTGCCTGCACGGGTGGTCACGGTTCCTGAACCAGCGGTAAGCGGCCATCCTCCACGGCTTCCGCTACAACTCCTGCCTGGAGTTCCCCTCTCCTAATTTCCCTTCTTGGTGAACAGGAAGCTGTAAGCTGAAATAAGCCCTAGTTGTTTTGGTCAGTAATGAAACCATAATTAAGAGTCCCTCTTTCTCTTTTGATGTGTGATAGGTGTTTGGGGGTGTTCGTGCATATGTGTTCAGGTCTGAGCGAACAAGCAAGAAGAAGATAGCACGCACCCTGCTCAGTCTCTCTCCACCTTATTTCCTTGAGACAGGGTCTCTCACGGAGCCTAGAGCTGGGATGGCAGGCAGCCCAACCCAGCAAAGTCTATCTTCCCGTGCTGGGAATGTGAACTCAGATCCCCTGCTTTCGAGGCATCGCTCTTGCCCCCTGAGCCATCTCCCCAGCCCACCACACTTCTGCCATTTTGAAGATCTGTGGTATGTCAGTGAATAGATACAAGTACCCCCCAGGCCTCTGAGGCAGTGACGACGCCCACCTGGGGCAAATGAAGAGGCTGAGGCAAAGTTATTGTGGTGGGTACCATGGGGACTCTGCCGGGGGGAAAGTTGGGGTGCATACCCCGGTCTTTTTCTCCTGGCACAGGCTGAGACACTCGTGCCCAAATGGCCCTGCTGCTGTCACGCTGCCTGATGTGGGTACTTCCTGCCCCTCTCTGGGCATTGGCTTTCTCATCTATGAGGTAAGAAGGCTGGCCATCTCATCCCTCAGGGTCACGGTGGGGTCGGGGTTTGAGCCGAGGAACTGGGAGAGCCACTTGGACTGGCACCGTTACAGTGGGCTTCAAACCTCGACTTCCAAGAGTCCCCCCCAGCAGAAGGGGGGGGACTGGCCTTGCGTTGCCCTAAAGGAAGCCACTAAGGCTGGGTGTGGTGGCGCAGGCCTTTGCTCCCAGCTCTCTGGAGGCAGAAGCAGGTGGCCGGATCTCTAGGAGTTTGAGGTCAGCCTGGCCTACATAGCAAGTTCCAGGGCAGCCATGGCTACACAGTGAGACCCTGTCTCAATAAAACAAAAAACAAACCATCAAAATAAAGTAAGACACTCAACATGTAACTTTCACCAGGGCGACCCTGTGGGACAGCAACTCTTAGTTGTCGCCGACATCTGGACTCAGCTGAAACCCAAGAGGCTGGGTATTCCTGTGAGCAGTTTTTCTTGACTGAATCATTTGAAGAGGGAAGACCCCCCTTAAGTCTCAATCTTTTGAGGTGGGGAGATCCACCTTAAATCCGGGCCACTCCTTCTGGTGTGAGCTTGCTCTTTGCCTGCTCGCCCTCACTCTCACTGCCAAGTTTATTCCTTCACTGGCATTAGAGCCTACTCCTTCAGGATTCCAGCGTCTGCTGAAGACCAGCTAGGGCATCCGGCCTCATGGACTGAACGACTACTGGATTCCTGGACTTTCCTATATTTTGGGAGTTCACCTTATGCATCCCATAATAACCCTGTGTGGCCCCAGGCCTTCCCTTGCTGTGTTTAACCTTCAGCGGAGTTGAACCTCTTGCCGCCCCACTTGGGGCCTGTCCGTAGTTTTAAAACCGCGGCGCTTCATCCAGGTGGGACAGCGTCCTCCCTTCCCACCCTCTCCCAGGGCCCCCGGGACGGGACTCACGTGGAAGAACTTCCTGCTGACAGCACCCAAGGCACTGAAGGTCACCGCCTCTATCAGCACCATCGCGGACAGCTGCACCAAGTTGACCCTCCCCAGGACAGCGCAGGCCGAGATGAGCAGGGGCACGGTGCTCATGGTAGCGATCTGGAATCTGGGGGCGGGGGGGGGGGGGGAAGGGAGAGGAAGCGCGTGAGACAGAGCACCCCTGAATTCCACCCCTAACCCCACACTTCCTTCCCGCCGTCAGCGCCCCCAGATGCTCGCGAGGGGGCGCTCTCCACCAGCCGGCCCTCCACCGTCCTCCTTTCCCTCCTCGTGCCGGAGACAGGGTTGGGGAGTTTGGATGTGGGGCGAGCCTGGCTTCCCACGCCAATTCCACCACCCAAGCAGCCGGCTAACCAAACAGCGCGCCCATCTGTGAATTGAAAACGCCCCTGTTTGTTTCCCGGAGCTGCGGCCGGGGTTGGAAGGAAAGCTTTGGGGGGGGGGGGCGGTATAGACCACAAAGGCTGCCAGGCGCCCAAAGAGGGAACTCGGGAACGGAGGCAACTGCCAGCGTGGAGGCTGTCGAATCTTTCCTCCTGTGGACAAACATGCAGCGTGGAGATTCGGGTAGAGAAAAACTTTTTTTTTTCCTGTCTTCAGAGGTTTGGCTGGCGAGACACAGGCTTCCTAAGTCAGCTGTGCCAACTGGACTTATCATGGAGAGCTCCCTAGAGGAGGCGGTCTTCCCCTGAAGCCCGTCCTTCCTAGGGATTTCATGAGGCTGGCATCTGGATGCTGTTGAGATGCCTGAGGTTAAAGGTCAGGCCTCCAGAGGGAGGTGCTGTGTCCCTCGTGTCCCTCACTGTGTACAAGAGGGCATGCAGCTGGAAGGATGGCCACTACCTACTGAGAACAAGCACTGAGGTTCAGGCCCAGCTGGCCTAGATCTAAGCCCACATCCACCGGTGTAGACACAGCCTCCCCAGTGTTCACTGCTGTCCATGGGGCTGAGGACGTGAGGGAAAAAGTAAGGGAATGGGTCCTGTGTGGACCGGGAGTGGCTCAGTATATGGGCTAACTCGGCCAGGCATGGTGGCACACACCATGAGTTTGATTCCAACTCTTGGGAGGCAGAGGCAAGCAGATCTCTGTGTGTTCAAGGCCAGTTTAGTCTACAAAGTGAGTTCCTGGACAGCCAGGGATGGGGTCAGTGGCAGATGGCTTGCCTAGCCTTTGCAAGGTCCTGGTTTGATCCTCAGCAGCAGGTGTGCCGGGCGGTGGACATCACTCACTGAGAGATCCTTTTGTTTTCATTTTTCTTGCGATGAGCATTTGCCACGCCCTTACTGTGTGAGCAATCCTGAAGGCCTCTGCTCTACAAGGATTCATTTGGAACCCATTTGGTACCAAGCCAAACAGCACATGCTTGAGTCAGGCCAGGGAGCAGGGCAGGCAAAGCCCACTAGCCCAGCCCTGGCCTGACAGGCCGGCAGGTGCCCCTGTCCAACCCTGCAAAGCCAGTGCCAGCTAAGTCTCCGCTGGGAGGATCCGAATGGCTTCCTGTGGCATGTCAGCTGGGTGGCACAGAGGGGTAACAGGTCCCTGTGGACATCAATGTCCTGGAACACTGCTGTCCTAGTTTGCCTGGGTGCTGAAGGCTAACCTCTGTTTGACCTTAAACCAAGGCAGCAGCAGCCCCAGCCAAGGTTCACCACTGTCAGAAGCCCCCAGGGAGGCCTTTGACACAACCCGGGAGTCTCCAATCCCCGAAGGCAGTGGCTGCCCTCCAACTCGCTATGTGACTGGGGAAGACTTTGAACTTCTGATCTTTCCACCTCCACTTCTCAAGGGCTGGGGTGACAGAGCATGTCACCATGGCCAGTTTTTGCGCTGTTGAAATAGGACCCAGGGCTTCATGCATGTTAGGCAGGCGCCCTGCCCTGCTAACTCAGCTATATCCCCAACCCTCTACAAAATTTAAAAAGGGATGAACCATCTCTCTCTGTCTGGTTTGGTTTCTCTATGTAGCCCTGGCCATTCTGGACCAGGCTGGTCTCAAACCCACAGAGATCCACCTTTCTCTGCCTCTCAAGTGCTGGGATCAAAGGCAACTCGCCACCCCCCCCCCCCATGCCACCCTGCCCTTGAGAGGACTATTTTGTGCTCTACCTGTCTCTCCCCTTAGCTTCGGGACCCCAGCCACATGTCCTGTGCTCTCTGAGCCTTTATTTTCCTTGCCTGCGTATGACCGTAGACCCTAACTCTGGATGGACCAACCAGAACATCAGCGACGCGTCTGGCACAGTGTTTGGGTTCACAGAGAGCTGTCCAAAGACAACCCCCCTCCCCCGAAGGTAGAGCGAGGCCTATGAGGGACAGCTGGCATGGCCTTGACAGGGCCCAAGAAGTTCCCAAGACACAATGTTCTGAATCTTAGAAACTCAGGGTTGGATAAAACAACAACAAAACTTTTTGTGGGGGGCAGTGGTGAGAGTTGAGACATGGTCTCACCATGTAGCCTTGGCTGGCCTGGAACTCCCTGTGTAGACCAGGAGATCTGCCTGCCTCGCAAGTGCTGGGCACCCTCCTCCGGTACACTGGCACTCATGTGGGCAGAACATTTTATACATAATAAATAAATAAATCTTTAAAAAAAGAGAACCATCTTGTTTTTATTTATTTATTTGTTTATTATGAATGCAGTATCCTGCCTGCACATGAGCCAGGAGGCCAGAAGAGGGGACCAGATCTCACTATAGGTGGTTATGAGCCACCACGTGGTTGCTGGGAATTGAACTCAGGACCTCTGGAAGAACAACCAGCACTCTTAACCTCTGAGCCATCTCCCCAGTGCCAAGAATCATCTTGTTAGAAGGGACCCTCCAATGAGGACTTTTCTCCAACAAATTGGCCTGTGAGTATGTCTGTGGGGCATTTTCTTAATTGCTAATTAATGAGGGAAGACCCCCCACTGAGTGTGGGTGGTACCTGCTGGTATTAACCCAGATAAAAAGGGACTTGGCAGAAGGAGGCTCATTTGCCTCCCGCCCAGCCGGCCTTCCCTCTTGCTGCAGAATTGATCCATCTTGCTTCTGCTAATTCATTTGTTGATAAGTTTCCAGGCTTTCCTTTGTGGACTAAGGACATCACTCTCTAAGACTGAGCAAGCGCAAACAGGGTCGTCAGCCTCTGGACTGTGCCAGCTGCCGAGGTACCCAGCCTCAAGGATCAAGTAAATCAACCATGTTCTTTGCCTCTCGATTGTGAGACACCTGTTATCATAGTTTTAATGTAATCAAATTCAATAGATTCTTTTGTTTATGTTTAAATTTTTTTCTAAGACAGGGTTTCTCTGTATAGCTCTGGCTGTCATGGAACTCTCTCTGCAGGCCAAGCTGGCCTGGAACTCAGACATCTGCCTGCCTCTGCCTCCTGAGTGCCAGGATTAAAGGTGTGCACCACTACCACCCAGCTCAGTAAATTTTTTATATGACTATATTTAGATAGATAGATAGATAGATAGATAGATAGATAGATAGATAGACAGACATTGTTTGTGTATGTATATGTATATACACACACAATCATCCTGTTGGTTCTGTTCTTCTAGAGAACCCTGACTTACCTGTATCAATCTATCAGTCATCTGATCTCTATTAATCATCTGCCATGTATTAATCTGATATTCCCAGGTGATCACAGAGATTGTTCACCGAGCCCATGGTGCTCCTTCCTAATCAAAATTTGCCTGTCGCCTGGGGAACCACTATTCTACTTGGACTTCTGGAGTCATAGTTTGGTTTTGCCAGTTTGCACCATCTCATTTAAGTACATCTACATGGATCAATGTTATCGTAAAGAAAATAAAAGTATGATACTTCCCGTCAACTGGCATCTCAGAACTGACTCTTCCTCTGTTTCTCCTCCCTTTCTCCCTCTTCCCTCTCCTTCTCTCTCCTTCTCTGCCTCTTCCTCCTCCTCTTTCAGTTTCCTCCTTGAAGGCTGGGCATGGAATCCAGGATCATTGAATGTGCTAGGCAACTGCCTTGCCACCAAGGTACACGCCCAGGACACCCTGCTTTCTCTTTAAGACACTGCCTCTCTGGGTAACACTTCTGTTTGCTGTTTTGTTAGGTGGACTCTTTTTCATTACTTTTCTATGGACCTGTGTTGATCACCTGACTTTATACAATCAGAATCATTAATAACAAAATAGGGAGACTCGAGGGAAAGGCTATAGCTCCAGATATCCAGTAGGGTCCAATTAAATTAGATTTTTGTATATGCAGTGAAAATCTTGTAGAAAAAGCATGTCTTACCTATTTTGTATGTCAGAGATAGAGCTCACGAGCTTCTAGAACCTTCCTCTGTGCATTCCTCTGCACCCCAAATGACCCAGCTGCTTTCACTCACCTGCTCACAAGGCTTTTGTCTTTGCTTTCACCATTCCATTGGAAGTACTGGTACAGAAAATAGTTCATCAAGATTGTCCCTTGTACCCCGAGGGCCAACATGAAAAGGTTGAAGGCCACGCTGCTCCAGCCGTGTCTCCGTAAAGATGAGGAGAGGAACCCGAAGCCCAAGGCTGCCACAAGAGTCAAATCCTGGAAGACTGTGAAGGGGAAGGGGGGAGTGGACACAAAGGGAAAAGCGGTGAGAGTGGCCAGTGTGGCCACTGGAAGGGACATCTGAGATCATTTACGAGAACTTGGTGTGCACAGTGGCTACACAGAAAAACCTTGTCTCAAAAAAAAAAAAAAAAAAAAAAAAAAGGAGAACTTGTTAAATTGCCTCTCCTCTTTGAGCCTCAACTTTCTCATCTGAAAAAGGGGGAAATGACCACTCAGCCTGAGATGGGGGAAGGTGAGTTAAAGCTGGTGAAGAGCTTCAGGCAGGTAGGAAAGCACAGGGAAAAGGCAATGGTTATGAGGAATGAACACTATGACTCGGACAAGTGCAGTGTCATGGCCCCTGCTTGGCCCATCATTGGCACTCGGTGAAGGGAAAATTTCACTGGGGTTGTGGGGGCAGAATTCCGCCCTGGTCATGCACACTAAGATCTCAGCAGCTGAATAATCCAGGTGAGACAGAAATGAGAAGACAGAGGTGACTTCAGAGTCCCTGTGGCATGAGCCAAACCATCTTCATAAGAAGCAGGTAGGAAAAAATTATGTATTATTATAATATACTACATTTATAATACACACACACACACACACATAAATAAAACAACCTGGGTGTTGGTGGCAGCACACGAGAAGTGCTGGCGTGATGAGTCAGCAAGAAAAGGTACTTGGCGCTGGAGAGATGGCTCAGAGGTTAAGAACACTTGCTGTTCTTCCAGAGGTCCTGAGTTCAATTCCCAGCAACCACATGGTGGCTCATAGCATCTATAGTAAGATCTGATGTGCAGGCAGAATGTTATATAAATAATAAATAAATCTTAAAAAGAAAGAAAGAAAGAAAAGGTACTCATTTCACAAGCCTGGGTTTGGCTTCCTGAATCCATAGGGGAAGGAGTCCTGGAAGTTGTCCTCTGACCTCCACTAGGGCTCTCACACCCACATATTCACACAGGTGAGCACACACACATACAAATGATCAAAGTTTAAAAAAAAAAAAAAAAAAAAAGAAGCTGAGCAGCGGTGGCGCACGCCTTTAATCCCAGAACTCAGGATGCAGAGGAAGGAAGATCTGTGGGTTCCAGGCCAGCCTGGTCTGCAGAGTGAGTTCCAGAATGGCCAAGGCTACATAGAGAAACCCTGTCTCAAAGAAAATGAATGAAAGAAATAAGGAAAGGAAGGAAGGAAGGAAGGAAGGAAGGAAGGAAGGAAGGAAGGAAGTTGTCTCTTTGCCAGTTCTTGTGAGAGACTGGTGGGCCTCGGGGCTTGAGCAGGAACTGAAACAGGTGAAGCAAAAGTCATCCCAGAGGCCCCAGCAGAAGGATGAGGGGGCTACTTTCATGTGATTCCAGTTTTGAAAAATAATTAGCACATGTAAGCCAGAACCAGACAAACTTGGCTTTGGTGAGACTGGGCACTTCCCAGCTGTGTGGTCTGGGTGGCTCTGAGCTTCAGAGGAGCCCAGTATTTAATGGCCAGTGACGGCTGTTCTTGACCAGCAGCTTGCCTGGACTGAGAGGTCCCCAGGAGATCAGCAAACTGACTCTGGACAACTTAAGGATGCGTCTTGGCTCTGGACCCCACCCTGCGGCTCCCCTGCCTCCTGGCTGCTGCAAGGTGGGCATCCCTGCCCTAGAATGCCCCTCACCCATTACATCATCACCACAGCCCAGAAACAGCAGAAGCCAGGGGCCCACAAACTCGAAAGTGATCTTCCCCCCTCTAAACTGTTCCTTTAGGGTATTAGCCACAGCAGTAAAATAAAATTAAAAAAAGTCCAACTGGAAGTGGGTTGCTTTAGATAAAGCAGACAGAGCCGGGGTGGTCTTACCCTAAACCATTGGTTGGAGCCTTCACCCTAGTTTCAGTACTACCCTCTTCCAGTTCTCACCAGTGTAACAGGAACAATTCCACAAGTTCCTCAGACTCTCCCCGATGAAATGGGATGATACATGGAAAGACTGTTTTACCAGCAGACATTGATCATTTTCTTTTCTTTCTCTCTTTTTCTTTTCCTTTTTGAGACAGGGTTTCTCTGTGTAGCTCTGACTGTCCTGGACTTGCTTTGTAGACCAGGCTGGTCTCAAACTCAGAGATCTGCCTGCCTCTCCCTCCCTGAGTGCTGGGATCACAGGCATGTGTTGATTGTTTTTCTACATACCTGATGGCTGCACGGATTCCCCCCCACCGTGACTACTGTATGAGGTTTATGAGAAAATACTCATAACTCATCTTTTTTGCTATCTTCTTTTCATCAGTATGACTTTGTGCCAACAGTTTACAATCGCCTCTAGTTACTCACTCATTTCCCCCCTGTAAAACAGCTCACAGCCATTTATTATTTTAAAATAGTCCACCTGTCATGGTGGTGGTACAGACTGGTGACTGAAGGGCCAGAGGCAGGAGGATCAGAAATTTAAAGCCAGCCTGGGCTGCACTGTGTGTATATGTGTATGGGGGGTGGGAAATGGGATGGCTGGAGAGATGGCTCAGCGGTTAAGAGCCTTTTCTGCTTTGCAGAGGACCCAGGTTCAGTTCCCAGCACCCACGTGGTGGTGGCTCCCAAACACCTGTGATTCTCTTTCCAGCATACCTGATGCCTCCTCCGGCCTCTCTGCAGGCACTAAGCATGCCTATGGTGCACAGACATACATGGAGGCAAAACACTTATATTAAAAAATAAAATAAAATACACTAACTCCCCACCACCACCACCACACATTATCACCAAAAAACAACCGGATCCCTCTGAGGCCTTGGCTTATTAGGAAAAGGGGGCCGTCTGAGGACAAAAAGCCACAGCAGATGTCGCTCACTTATGATTACATACACATCCCACAAGCCTCTACAGTGGGCTGGCCCAGAATCCCAAAGTCCCTGGATGGCAGTGTATGCTTCACCTTTGACCTCATGCACAATGTTTAAAAAGCCACTGAGGACAGAGAGCCCCTCCCTCATGGCCACACCTAAGGTTCTTCCTAAAAAGAATGTTCTCTTCCATGCCTGTCTCACTCCCAGTGCGGTGGATCAGGCCTTCCTGTCTTCAGGGAGTGAAGCTGGGTGTCCCTCTCACTAGTCCTGTGGTCCCCCAGGGCTCCACAGAGTCAGCCCAGGGCTGGGGCTGTGGGTCTCAGCCAGCTCTGCAGAGAGCTTCCAGTTCATGGAGGTGACAAGCTGGAACTCATCAGAAGGCTCCACACTGGGCCCCTGCTGTCTTTGAACCTGGCGGTGGCATCAGCTGTCCAGTCCCCGACGGGTGCTCTGAACACTCCCACCTCTTCCTCTGTCTTCTTAAGTAGTGCTCAAAGCTGGACTCCAATCACATTAGGCTAAGCCCCTCCAGGACCCAAACTGTCAGGTGCCAAAGAAATCCGGGACAAATGGCTCTTTGAGGCGTGTCCATTAGCATAGCAAAGCCCACCATGGCCTCTGGGCTCCTCTCTGCTCTTCTCAAACCAGCCTGCTATCTAAACTTCTCCAGCCTACGGGGCAGGCTTCCCTTCCCATCCCCCAGCTTCTCTTTTCTATGTAAACCTGAAATTTTTGGCTACATGCTCTCTTGGGTTCTCGCTCTCTATCCACTTGCCCCACTCTCTCCTCTCTTCCTCTCTCACTCTTCCATCTCCGTTTTCTTGTACGGCCTAGTTCAGTCTGGACCCTTGATGATGCCTCTAGCTGTACTTTTCCTCTTAGCTACAGTAAAAACCTTGGCCTCATGCCAGGCATGGCCTTTAATCCCAAGCATTCTGGAGGCAGAGGCAGTTGGATCTCTGAGTGCTAGTCAGGCCTACAAACGGAATTCCCAGACAGCCAGGGCAGAGAAACCCTGCCTTGAAAAAAAAAAACAAAAAAACAAAAACAAACCAACAACAGCAACAATGAAACCTCCTCATTCTGCCTTGGAGTGTTCACGTCCTCCTTTTCATTCACAGACCACAGGGCAAGCCGACCTACCTGCTGTAAAATCACCACAGCTGATGGCTGTTACCACAGCGTAAACATGGTGCTGGCCACTCCAGCCTTCTGTGTGCAGGCACAGACTGGGGAACTCAGCCACGGACAATCTGCTTAATTGCACTTTTGGCAGTTTCTTTCCCAAGTCCCAGACAACAGAATGCCCCCCCACCACAAAAAAAAAAAATGGTGAGAGATATTTCCCCGCCTTCTATGCACAGTGAGATGTTTCCAAACGGTCTCTGAAGGAATTCGGGGCCATTGTGATGGGAAAGGCACTGCTGAAGCTATTTCTGTCCAGGGCCTGGCATGAGGCCAGAGAGAGCTGTTTACTAACCATCACCACAGGAGGAAATCACCTGCCTCAGGTCTCAGTCTTAGCTGTGCATACTGTTGGCCTGCAGGTGGTTGGTTCTGTTGGCCTGCCCCCAGGGACCCAGCAATCGCTCATGTCATGGACTGCCTGCAAGGTGCAAGTGTGTGCAGGCTGATAAAAGGACCACCAGCTACTCAGCCCTATCTCTGCTCTCTCTCTTCATTTCCTCTCTCCTCTGTGTGTTCTCCCCCGCCCCGCTCCCACTTTCTGTCTCCTCTGGATGGTGACTTGATGGACCCCCCTCTTGCGAGGTTGGCAAACCCTCCCAAGAGCTGCCTCCCAATAAGCCTGCATTTATACTCTCATTTGGCTTGAACGGGCAGGAGAATACCTTGTCACACACAGGATGGACATGCTCATTACCGGAAAGTTCCTTTGGTGTCAGAGGCCACTGAAAGGCACTTCCTTTTTAGAACACAGAGTGTCTGTCAGACATAGGCATTTAAAGGGTAAACACCCCTGAAGTCTGGAGCCTTAAGAGTTGTCATTCAGGAGACTGTACCGTCTCCCCTGACGTGGGTGGAAAGGAGGAAAGGTACGCTGGTGGGGTTCCTTCTCCTGTCCATCTTCCTGGCAATACTATAGTGTGGGGGGAGGAACATGGCATCCTTTGCACTTCCTCTTGGGGTGATCCAAATTTCCTCGGGAGCCAAGCAGGAA